CATGCGAGTTATATACCTGGTCGTGTGGTCAGTCCTCTGTCTGCAGCTGGGCGGGCATCAACCGGCTCAACTGGGGATGTGCAGCAAAAAAAAAAAAAAAAGGCAAAACAAACAAAAATAAACAACCCCCCCAAAATGATAAGTCAAATGCTTTTTTGTTGGGATAGTGCAGGAGAGAGATATGCCATAAACAAAGTTATAAAAAGCAACAGCTGGAAAAGATCTGCCTTTAGTTAATTCTCAAAATAAAAGGAAGGGGATGGGTACAACCTCAAAAAAGTGTGTGTTTTGTAGCTGTGTCAGTCTTACACTGTATTCTGGTTAATGCTCAAATTAGAAACTATTGAAATTTACAGTCTCAAATTAGAAACTATTGAGATTTATTCAATGTCTGCTTAGAAACATCTTCCTGCCTCTATTAGAATTGGCAACAAGAACAGACACAAGAGGATCAGCCCTTGTAACAAATCTTAATCACTACTGATTTCTAGCTCCAATAAGTCTTAATTCTGTTTTCCAGATTATGACTGTGTGAAGGCAATAGCTACAAGGCTTGACAGAAATATAAGGACAATATATATTTTCAGCCAGCACAGTGAATGGTTAGTAAGGTTATCCATCTAATCAGACTGTCTTCCTTTTCACTGTAAACAAGGTCTCCAAGCATGATTTATTTATGCCTCCCATTCAACTATGTTCACGTTTAAATACTTTACACTCATTCAGAGACCTCACTTAAGAGTCAGCACGATGCACCTTGGAGCCCAGCAGAATTAACAGTAAATGGGAAAGGTTGAACAGATTTGGACAAAATTAGAGTAAGCTGAATAACTTCAGCAAAATTCCAACCGAATCTACTGGGAGAGTTAAAACACAATTGTGTAATTTCTCCCCATGTTCTTTCCCCTTCATTTTTCTTCTTTTATGCTACTTTGTGCTATCTTGGTTCAGGTCTGCAATGGAGGTGCCAAAACATCACAAATACATTTGCTTCTTGTTGGTGTGGAAATCAGATATACAGGTTTCCCTTGATTAATGCGGGTTTTATATATGGGAATTGAGTCTAATGTGATGATACTTTTTATATCCCAAATTCGTTATATGCAAGGTAAATTAACTCTTATGCGATCAGTACTGCGGCTCCGCTTTTCCACACTCACCCCAGCCCCTGGGCTGTGCCATACCGTGGTGCGGGCAGGTGGTGTCGGCTGCTCCCAGGGCCACCGCAGAAGGGGCTGGGGTGAGTGGACTGGAGCGGACAAGTGGAGGCCTGGGGCGCAGCAAGCTAAGTCTGTAGGGTAAGGGACAGAGCGGGGGCATGGTGCAGCCCAGTGGCTGCAGGCAGGAGGTATCAGCCACTCCCGGAGCTGCAGAGGCAGCACCGGGCTCTTCCTGGTGCTCGGGGCGGGCAGCAGCCTGCTCTTGTCCTGCTGCAGGCCAGGGCCGGTGCCTGCTGCTGGCTAGGACTGGTGGTGGCACCGGGCTCTTCCTGGTGCTCGGCAGGCAGGTTGGGGGGGAGGGCTATGGTGAATTTTGGGGTGGCAGCTGCCCCCATCCTATTGCTGCAGCCTGCCCCGAGCACCAGGAAGAGACCAGTGCCACCACTGGCCCCAGCCTGTAGCGGTTGCCGGCCCCAGCCTGTTCTCGTCCTGCTGCAGGCTGCCACCTGTCCCGAGCACTGGGAAGAGCACTGTGCTGCCATCGGCCCCAGCCTGCAGCAGGATGAGAGCAGGCTGATGCCTGCTCTGAGCACCAGGAAGAGCCCAGTACTGCTCCTGCTGCAGCCCTGGGAGCAGCTGATGCCACCTCCTTGCAGCTGTTGGGCTGCACTGCACCCCTCTCCCCGCTCCTTCCCTAGGCCCAGCCTCACTCCCTCCTCCCTCCCTTACTGCCATGGGAATGTATCCCTATTTGTTACATTATAAAATGGGATCCCTTTATGTGTATTCAATTTATGTGCAGTTTTGTGGGAACGCATCTACCACATAAATTGAGGGAAACCTGTACTTGGTAAAGTAGGCCAAGTTGTAGCTATTGCATGGGATACACAGACTCATTTTCCAGAATCATGAAAATTAGAGTGGAACTAAGAGGAACCCTCTAATTAGCAATAGCAAAAGAAATACCAACTATGACACAATATGTTACTGAATAAAGCCAAACAAAATTTCGGCAGGAAATTCTAACTTTTCAACAGTATGTTTTTAATCATGCTCAGGACAGAGACTTGAAATTCCTTTCCTTTTTTTGTGAAACAGAAATATCAAAATGAAGCATCCACATGGTCATTTACCCATTTTTCTCTTCATATGCTGAAACCACCTGAAAATTTTATTTCAAGCTAGTTCAATATTAAGCTGCATTTTTCTGAAGTGGCTCATAAGACTTTTAATTCAGGGCCTGATATTCCTGTTTTCTCCTGTGGGCTAGACTCCCTGGTCAGCAGGGATCATGGTTTTCTCTGATTTAAAAAATCTCTATTTTTTTGTAAAAGAAAAGTAAACCCAAATCTACACATTTCCATGATTAAAATGAAACACCACTAATATATAAATTTATGGTGGTGTTTAGTGGTGTTTCATTTTCCATGGAAAAATGTGGATTTGGGGTAAGTTTTTTTTTTTTTTTTTTTTTTAACTGAAAATTGGGGATTTTTTTAAATCAGAAAACCAAGATCCCTGCTGGTCAGACATCTTCCATAATGCAGTCATGTTTCTCTCCTAATGTCAACATAGTATAGTCAAGGGGAAATGCAGATTTAATTATAGGGGATAACTTCCACAGAAACTGGCACAGATGAGAGAATGTGGGGTTGAACAGAACCTTTTGTAGGGCAATGAGTTGATAAGAATCAGAATTTAAATTTTTTGAAAGTTTTTAAAAAATTGAGCATTTTAGGTCAGTTTAACAAAATGAGATCCTTGGATTTGGATCAAGTCAATGTGAAATTACAAATGCAGTTGCGATTTCCAACAGAAAATCAGAAACTTCTCCCATGGAAAACTGTAATGTTTGCAGAAAACTAGAAAATCATCCCACCAAGAAAATCCCAACCAACTGCACCTTTCAGTGATGCACTGATTTCTCTCTCCACATTTGCAGGGGACCTGCACTTTTTCCTGTGCATCTTTAGCACTATTAGTCTGGTTTTCAAAGGTTCATTAATTTTACATGCTCCAAAATGGCATGACTACATGTTAACCACATTTACACAAGCAAAAACAGTAACTGTATGCAGCGGTCCAGGAGTGCACAAATTAAGCACCCAAAGTTATTTTGTATAAAGATCTGGTCCCTGAAATGAATTATTATACTTGCTTTTTTGCACATGGGATAACCATGCAAGATGCATTCAGTATGCATTTACTTAACTTTAAATCTAGTGCTAAAAACCTGAGAACAAGAGGTTCTAGCACCCACTAGATTTTTTTTTCTTTCTTTCAAATACATAAGAAGGTGCAGTCCCTACCCCAAAGAGCTTAAAATCCAAGACAAATCAACTGAAAGGTGCAGGAGTACAGATTTCCACATGATCAAAAAGAGGGAGGATTGGCCAGATTATAAAAATAAAGCAAGTTTATTTTTTCATTTAGGACACAACCCAAAGGATGAAATCTTGATCCCATTGATGTCAATGACAATGCTTTCATCGACTTCAGACAGCCAGGATTTCACCCACAATTTCTTCAGAAGTGGCATGGCAGGTATATTTAGACTGAGCTAGATGCTGGCAAATCAGTAGTTCATGAGTTAAATAAAATAATGCCATGTTATTTTACGTTACAATTTACTGCTAAAACAACAGTAAAGTTTTTTCTTTGCAAGAAATAATGGTGTCTTGTTTCTAAGTCTTATTGCAACGATTTTAGTTTCCTGTTAAAACTGGCCGGAAAATATTTTTGTGAGTCTCTCAGTATCAAACCGGAACAAAAATAGAATTCACATAACTGAACATCTAACTGTGTAGGCTGCTTATATAGTTTATTGGATATAATTTTAATTGGATGTTTATTGGAAAATAGGTCATGGAGACCAGCAGGAAGGAAAGGTCCAAGGTAGTTTGCTGAAATTACTGGTCTTTTACCTTAGACTGTAGAGTAATCAGTGTCACTGATACACTAACTTTTCTTTGAACAACTTTAAGTGATAGGAAAGCAATTCTAATATGAAATAAACTACTAAAACAATACCGATTCTTTTATACAAGTATAAACGCCACAGGAAAATTTAGAATGAAAGCAAGGACTCTTCATATGACCACCTCCATCATGCCTCATGATGAAAGGATCTCTGAACAGAGAAGAGTCAAAGGAGAAGAGCTGTTGGACATCCTGCTATAGGACAAGAGGTATGAGTTCAAAACCTACTTTCAACTGGTGCCAAAGGTTACCCCCCGTTGGCCTAGCTATATATACCTCCTTCTTTGGGCTGGGGAGTAAAAGATAGCAGGATGTGATGCTGGACACATTATTCCTTTGCGTGTATAGGCTATGGATGCTGATATGTCCTAATAGTGTTTCTTTATGAACCTTTCAACTATGACAGACTTTTGAATTTGACTTTTCCCCCTGGCTTCACCTATGCACACCTGCTAGGGAGTTGGGTGCTGGATGTTAATACCAAATTATGATTTGGATGTTCCATTTCCTTTCTCTTATGATCATTCACATTCATGTTTTTGTTTGTGAATTCCTTTTTTAGTATTTCCTTAACATCTCGTACATCTCTGAGATTGTTGAGGAAAAAAAACATACTAGGTCATTTAAAGTCAGTCTGCCGTATATTACACAATTTGTTTACTTGACAGATACTCTGATATGGTACTGTCTGCTGTAAAAAATTGAACTTTGCTATATTAAGTCTGAAAAGTTAACTAATTTACTCAATACACTGCATGGACCATTCAGGATGACAGTAAAGCAGCAACGCAACAAGGGAAGTAGTGCTGCATTTATGTTAATGTTTGTGGTAAGAGAGTCGAGATTCTCTGGTTCTAATAACTAATCTAATTACCCAAGCCAAATGACTAATACTTAAAATTTGCAATTGCCAATTTTTAAATAATCAGTTACAGCAAACTAAAATAAAACAGCCTAAGGATCTGCAGACTGACAATTTGCTCATTATTTTAAAATTACCTAAACAAATATAAACTAAAAATGCTAATACGTCACATTACTCACCCGTTCTCTAAAATATATAGTTCAATGGGAAGACCAAACTGGTTATAGAAAACACC